GACCCTGCTTTGGCAGGGGGGTTGGACTTAATGATCTCTAGAGGTCCCTTCCGACCCCAATCAGTCTGAGATTCTGTGATCAGAGTCCTCTTTTTGGTAGTCCTATGTTTACTTGAGTTTGCTACAAGATTGCAGATTTTTTTTCTAGTTTAGGGGGCACCCAGTTCGGTCTCTGTGGCTTGAAGGAATGCCAGAAGAAGGGCTGACGGCGGTGTGAACAGCCTCCCTTTGAGCTCCAAGGTGTGTCAGAGCTGAGGCGCTCATTGTTTCCTTCAGCGCGTTCTGAATTTTTCCTTTCGGAAGAGGCTTTTTCACTCTGAAGTCATCTTGCTCGTAAAAGTATATAGCACAGATTCTAGCACTTGTCTAATTCTTTTGTATTAGCGTGGATTAATTACCGTGCAGGATGATTTTTTTTTTCCTTAATTTTGAAAATCTGTAGGAGTCTGCCATTTGAGCTGGTGAGAACAGCTTTGTGACGGGCAGCGTGGTGGTGGTGAGAATTGGAGCTACTCTTGCTAATTACCTGCTTTTCGTTAGCAAGGACTTGTTTTCAGTGACCAGCTATTTTTAAATGACATTTAGTGCTGCCCATCACTTTGCATGGCCAGGTGAGCACGTGGGTTTTCAGTGGAAACTTGGTGTCTGTTTCAGGTTGCGGTACCCTAAATGGTATTGTGCAAAACCTTGAACCTTGGAAAGCTTGGAAGAATTGAACAAGTTGAGTTTTTTAGCAAAGTAAAATAAGTAAATTTTTTAGGTAAGTAGAACTAGATAGCTGGTAAAATCTAGTTTTGGGTAAATGCTGCTCCTCTCGTGTGGGTGACTTCATGCAAGCAGCTGCTTGTCTGCCTCTGAACCTGGTAAACCAGGGGCTGCTCAGCGCCGCAGGCTCTGTCGGGTGTAGTTACTTGCTACTCACAAATATCGCCAGCCCTGAAGCAGAGGGGGCAGTGACTGACAAGAGATACTGCTGTGTTCCCTCCGCTTCTTTTCATTTTGCGTGTCTCCTAGCGATTTGGGGCTGTCGTTTCTTCAGCCTCCCCTTCTTCCCTATCCGAATTCCCTTTAGCCTTTATAGTATAAAACCTGTGGATGTCTGAAGGATCATGCAGCTTTCTGACGTCTATAAGGAGAGAAAGAGGACGGGAAAAGATTGGTGGTAGAGAGCGTTGGATGTTCTCAGTGAAAGGCCTCGTTTAAACGGATGAAATGAACAGTTTGTCATCACACAGACCTGCAAAAGCAGGAAGTAGCCACTAAAAGCCATTTCTTCTATTGATGAATATTAAACTACGAAGTATTCACAAGGCAGATACTTAGAGCCCTAAAGAGCAAGTGAAGGTCGCTGCAGTGTGCCTACCGCTGTATAAAGGCCTGTGGGTAACGAATAGCTGTGGAAGAGTGGTGTCAGAAGAGGCCGGTAAGCTACGTATTTATCAACTTAGATTTGTCCAAAGCTCCCTTTCCATGACAGGTACTTGAAGATTGTTGAAGAGGTGAGACTTTAGCAGAGGGCCCGAAGGGGTAGCACCTCTTGTGTGCACTGAGAGGTGCCTTCAGGCACTCCCGGTGACAGGAGTGCGCTGTAGCTCTGTGTACAAAGCCACATTCAAAATAGTTGCAAGTCATTCTTCCAGCAATCACCGAGGTATGCTAATCCATTGAAATTAATATAAACAAGTTAATGAGGGTTTATCTCCTCTAGTGAGGAGCCTTGAAAGTTTTAAGCCTGGAAAACCTTCCTGGCACAATGGAGTTGTAGCTACCAGCTATGTACAAGGTTTTCCGCAGGAGCCTACCCTGCGTGTAGGGTTTATGCATTAATGTTTCCAGGAAGTGACTCCAGGGGAAATGCGTTCTTCTGCATTCCAGCTCCATGTAGAAAGTATGTCTGGTAATTAGTAATTAAATGAAAAATATCTTCTGCTTTATTTTTAGATGCTCGCTGTAAGTACCGTTACTGTGCATCACCCACTTATCACCGCGTCAGATCTTCATGAGGCAAGCAAGCAGTACAGAACGGACTCAAAAGCAAACATTGTACATGGTAAAGCTCAGCTGTTTCCCCTCAAATGTTTCTTAAGCGTATGGAGTGTGTCAAGTCCCTCCCTGAAATTCTCCTGATGTAGGACAGACTCTATAGGGCAGTGTCCCCTGGCGGCGTGAGCTGCGCAGGGAACACCTCCGCCCCTGGAACGTGCTCTCCGCTACTTTCCGTTCGTAATAACAATGCCGAGTAAACCAGAAATGGAGTTTCAGAATCGCTGACAGAAATCCCACTGCGCGGGGAGCTCGGGCAGCGCAGTGCTGACAGCTGTCAGTCCCAGGCAGCTCGCTTGGGCCTTTGGGGCTAGGCTGGGCTCCGCAACCGGGCAGGCAGCGTTTCTGTGCCCTTTAAACAGTGGAGGAAGGGAAGCTGCTGACCTCTGCCCGCCAGTGCTGGAGGATACGGCAAGATGCTTGGGCTGGGAGGTGTTGCAATAAACCCTCTGAGAGTCGCAGTAGTCTGTGCTCGGGTATGTATGAAACTGGAGCGTGCGCTTGAACTCTGCGTGCTCAGAAGTACAGCGGCACGAGCTTACCTGCGTGTCGCTGAGCTTCTGGTAGTGCTGTTCCGGCTCCTCTGGTGTGTTTTGGGCGGCTGCTGCTGCGGCCTTTGCGTGGGCCGGGGCTTCTTCCTTTCTAAACCTCAGCAGATGGGATGTGCTGAGACTACGCTTTGGCTTTCTCCGATAAGCATTTTGGAACCTGTGCAAAGCGTGAGAAGAAATAAACGTCGCCTGGTGATGATGCTGAGCCTAAATACAGTGACAGAAGGAATTGTTTCCCTGATCAGGAGAAGTGAACTTAGCCCATCGCTTCTTTATGGCTCCCAGATTTTACAGGCTTTGGTTTGGCTTGGCCCTGTGATCCTCAAAGTCTCCTCAGTACTGTGGAGCTCATTTGCTGGGTCACTTCTGAGCTTTGAATAGCCAATAACCTCCTCCACCTCCCCTTCCGTGACATCCTCGGCAGTAGCAGGGAGATCGTCTTGGTGCTGCTGGGAATTCTCTGTCGTGCTGTACGATACGCAACGGTGGCTTTTCTTTATACTTACATTTCTTGCTTTTTTGATGGAAGCAGCCCATTTCTTAACGTTCTTGCATCAAATATCTGGAAAACAAATGTTCTCTTATCTAGCCTCTCCAATTCTGGATTTTTTTTACATTATGAAGATACGTAACACAAATAGGTGAGGCCTACAGCATATAAAAATAGCAGATGAACTGCTTGCCTTTCTCATGTGCTTAACAGACATGTTTAGAGCTCTTGTCTTTCCTTCTAGGTTTGTCTGTCCTGGAAATCTGCCTAATTATAGCTATGAAACACTTAAATGATGTTTATGAAGGAGAACCATTTAACTTCCAGATGGTTTACAACGGTGAGAGAAATGCATGAACTTCACAAACTCCGAATCACTTTACCTTCCTGTAACTAACTTTTCTTTTTTCCTGTTACTCAGAATTCCAGAAATTCATACAGAGGAAGGCGCATTGTATGTACAACTTTGAAAAGCCAGTTGTCATGAAGGTAAGCCTGAAATGTAATTTTTTTTTAATCATCAAGTATTTTGATGTTGGGGTTTTATTTCGACAGATGTGAGTAGTCACGCGCAGGCCTAGAACCGAGCCTGGGGTGCTTCAGGGTGGTGAGAACCCCCTGCTCTCCGCGTAGGCACCCGGGGCGGTGGGTTTGGGCAGTGCTTGGCCTCCCACGTCCCCCCGCCTTTCCTGGGGTGGGGAGCACAAGGCCGTGCCCAGCTGGTAAATCGTTACACTTGGAAGAGTTTAGTACCAGCCTGAGGACTCTCAAGTGAGCTTAACCGATTTCGGACTGGGGTTCAGGAAGAATGGCTGTGTCAGAAGTGGCCTCCAAAGGAGAGACTGGCGTATGCCCCTCGGTATCCTCTTCCGAACAGCAGAAGCGAACAAGCAAGCTGAAGTGATGTCTCCAAAATGGAAATGACCCTTACCACGTCAGAAATTGGCTTTTCTTAATCCAAGTCCCAGCAGCTCCGACTGGTACACAGAATATGGAATCCATTTGTAGCCTAATACGGCGGGGCTTGCCTCAACCAACTGCAGTCTGAAGTGCGAATTGGGGGGAAAAAAAAAGGTGTTTTGGTTACACACCTGATGCTCGTTGGCCACCTGGGCTACCGAGGGGCTCGCTCGGTCAACCTGGTTGTGCCAGGCTCTGTTTGGGGAGCTGGTGGTGGGGCAGGGCCCTGCTGTAGCGTAGCCGTCCCACAGGGCCTGCGTTTTCCCTTCACAGCCTTAACCCAGGGAGCGGCAGTTCAGCAGTCAAAGCCCCCGTCCAGTCGTGCAGCTGTCTGTGCGCTTTAATAGACTACTCCAGTTTATTTCCCTGAATAACGAAGTCATTCCCAGTCAGTGCCACGTACGCCAGATTCCAAATACTATTTCTTTAAGCAGAAAAGCGAATTCTGCTTCCGTTCGCAGGGCCGATGGCTCTGTGCAAAAGGACGTCGGGTAAAACAGAGCTGGCGTCTGAGGTCTGTCTGTTGGCATCGCGCATCGCGGGCTTCTGTCAAAACAGCGTCCCGTGGGTCATTCAGAATGAGCGGCACGGCCCACAAGGACGTTCTCTTCCACGTCCTAATTTATTTTTTTTTCTTGTCTTTAGGCATTTGAACACTTATTGCAACTGGAATTAGTAAAACCGATCGAAAGGCCGTCTGTACGTGCCCAGAGAGAGTACCTCTTGATGAAGCTGCTTTTGGACAACAATCAGATCATGGATGCCCTGCAGGCCTACCCAAACTGCCCCACGGATGTTAAACAGTGGGCGGCCTCCTCCCTCAGCTGGTTGTGAGCTTTTGGGACCTCGCAGTATCAGTTTCTACGCCAACGCTTTTGGAGTTCAGGGTAAACTCCAGAAGATGTAATGTTTACCCACAGCAGGGTCTTCAGATTAATAAATTTTGGGAAGAAAGTTCCTTTGCTGATCGATTTTAGGATCTTGTTTTAAGGAGAACTATACTGATGTTAGCTTCTAATGGCCCTAAATTTGACTGACTGCCTGGAACGCTCGGGCTGTTGAGCTCAGCTCAGTGCTAACTTGTCCTCTCACGCACAGTTTCCACTTTGTAGAAGTCAAAGCTCTTTGGCGTTTCTCGGTGGGGGAGGAAGACCGCTCTAGCTCCTGGCTGAGGGGCACGGCTCTGGGTCTCACAGGGGAAATTCTGAAGCACAGATCCAGCTCTAACGCAGTTTAAAGCTCACCCTTTGTGTACTTTTTCTTCTCAGATTTGACTTGATGTAGAAAATGTACTTAATTAACCTTTACTCATCACAATGAGCTGCAGCTGGGAGGTGGTAGCTTTGTGTGAAGTACAGCCCAGGTTCTTTGGGGGTTTTCTGCAGTCGGGGGCTGTGCCCTGCCCCAGCGGAGCGCGGGGCCGCCCTCCACCTCACTCGGTGGGGAGAGAAATTGGTTTTACAGCTGCACGGCGTACACTACTATAGCTGTACGAGCAAGATACGGTGTCATGGGAAGTGGGCTCCTCTCCTGGTGGGAGTTACCGTTGGTTTGGTACCGCAGCAGGAGGGAAGTGGTGCGTAAAGCCTGGTCGCTGGAATAGCAGACCCCGTGCAGGGCAGCGGCTGTGAGTAGCGAGGGCCGCGCTGAACCCTCGCCCCCCGTTCTGTTTCAGGAAGGCTGATGCTGAGGGGCTGAGCGCTTCCCCTTGCCCGAACAGAGGCAGTCGGGCAGGTGACTCTCCCTTAAAGCCTACAGGATGTAGTCACTTTGGGTTTTTTGTTTTTAGTAGCCCAGTGGCTTCAGTCTGTCAAAAAGCCGAGGGAATTTCGGTGATGGTTGGTTATGCCTGGGCCCCCTTCTCTCAGCTCTCATGCAAAGCCCGTGTTTTCAGGCCAAGGGGTATCGATCTCGCGCTCCTTGCTGCTTCATAAAGATAGGGCCTGCACCCCGGCCCGGCCGGGAGAGCGGAGCAGGGCTTTGACGAGCAGGAGGGTGCGGCACAGGGTTGGTCTGCTCGCCCCCCCGCTGCAGACGACGGCTACCGCCCCTGCAGCCTGGGCCGCTTGGTGATGGGGGCTGGAAAACCCCAATGCGCTTCTGCTGGCGCAGCGGTCACATCACGCCACAGGTGGCTGAAGGGCGGGGTGGTGAGCCTTAATGTTCTTGGGAGGCAGAGAGGCGACTGACCTTTCCCTTACGGGAAGGGACTGAAGCTCAGCAGGGAGCTGGTTGTGTCGTCGTCTCGCACAGGTGGCTGTTGGGGAAGCGGTCGCTTTGCCCATCCCCAGTGCCGGGGCATGCGGTGTTGCCAAAGCCGCGCTCGAGTCCCTGGGACCTCTTGCCTCCCAGGGAGGTGAGGAGCGCGGGAAGGGTGATGTATTCCGTCGTGACAGAGGGAAGGGCGGGGAGAGGAAACTCAGAAACCGCCTCCCTGCCAAAGTCACACCGCAGGGTCTGTCCCTTCTCCTTTTTTCTTGCCACAGCACTTGCCCTGCAGCTTGGGAACGGCTCCCACCTCTCTGCTCCCCCACTGCTACGGTTTGAAGAAAGGCATCTGCGAGTCAGAGTAGTCACATTTTTTATTTTAACTTTTTGGGGGAAGAGGGGAGAAAGAGTATACATTTTTATTTGTACAATATTTAACAATCACTTTATTGGGGGGGGGGGGTGGTTTGTTTTCAGTACTTGCAGAAAAACAGCAAATACCTTTTGACAGTAGTACAACAACCTGTGCCCAAAAACACTGACAAATACAAAGAGTAAAGTTAAAGTAATTGCTTTACCAAAATCTTGAGAGGTAACGAATAGTATATGGACTGAAACGGCATTAAAAAATAAAATTTTAAAAAAAAAAAAAAAAGTACTGCTGGTTGAGTATCTGAGGTAAATGATGTTCCATCAAGGATGCTACTTGAATCATTTTGCCCATGAACATATATTGCAGCTTTCTGCGTTTTGTACCAAGTGTTCCTAATAAATGTATTAAAAAAGGTTAAAAAAAAAAAAAAAAGCTGGAAAAAGACCAAACTGGTAACCCTATTTATTCTGTCAAATGCTGATACAGACAGGAAAAGTCTTATTACCGTCAGGTTACGCTTGAGCTCGCACACCCAAAGTTGGGACTTGAAAGCTACACCCAGGTTTTACAAGGTGCGAAGTGGCGGATTCCACAGTGCGGCCACGGACGACGGCGCTGGTTCCACAACTCAGCGGCACAGCCTCTGCTCTGAGACGCGAGGGGGTAAGTACGGAGTCACACGAACTCCTTACTCTTAACACAAGATAAACCAAACTTTGGCAAGGCCGAGGCGGGGCGCGCGGAGCTGCCAGTTAAGAGCAGGGTGGGGTGACTCTTCCTGTCTCATCACTACAGGACATAAAGGGATGGTGGTCACTGCCTGCTAGTAAACTGCTAGTAAAGGGCGCCACAACGTTTCCGCTAGCGTCCCTCCGCCTGCCTCCTACCCTCTGTCACGCCTGGCTCAGGCATCTCCTCGATTCGTGCATTTGGCGCTCTAGAAGCAAAAGAAAAACGCACGAGAAGAGTGCTGGGGATGTTATTTTTCACCAATTAAAAAGCATTTCTACTAGCAACATCCTTTCCGCACTGACGCTAAATTACTGTTAAGAATCAGGAAACTCGGCGTAGTACGACATTTAAACAAATCGGGGATATCCAAAGGCAGTTTTAAAATACAAAGATAAGTTATCTCCGTTGTCCTGCTGCAAGGCTTAGCCTTGTTTGCAAGGTGAAGCATGAGAGGCACCCGCGTCCCCACCGCTTTGCTGTAGCTGAAGTTTAAAGGGTCACGCACAGATAATGCGTGATTTTTGCATCGCATCTTGACTACGGCACTATTAAGCCACCTGTATTTACTCCATTTTTGCTAGTAAAGGGGTTAAAACTCACTGGGAGCACAGAGGTCTTCAGTGAAGTACGAATGGATTCGTATTTGTTCAGAACGCAGCAGCTACCTTCACGTCCTGCTGTGCGCATAAAGTCACAGCCCTGGATTAAAAATGGAAGCAAAACAAAAGCGTCAATCGAAGCAGCAGTGACCACACACTCAGAGTTGGGGTTTTGTTTTGTCTTTTTTTTTTTTCCGGCCAAGCTCTCAAGCTGCGCCCTCCAGCACCAGCGACCCTCTGGAGCAGGGCTCTGCCTGGAGCAGCGAGACAGAGGGCAGCGGGTGGGATGGGAGACGCGAGCGGCTCCGGCCGCCCCTCCTTTCTATCCCTCCCTGCCAAGAGGGGGCTGACCTCGGCCTTCTCTAGCCCTCCTGTCGCGAACAGCTCCCAGAGATTAAGTTCAGGTACCCGTGAAACAGCGTATCTTGCGGCCGTACAGATCCGTTCTCAAGAGAAGGTTCGCAGCGAGCTCCTGACTGCAACGTTAAAAGCTTCTTTTGAAAGACGCTGAATGCACGGGGTGAAACCAAGGAAAACGATGACAGGACAGACAGCAGACTACACGCTATTGTCGGTTCTGTACTCTAGAGGTTGACAAAATTTATTTTAGTAAGGATCAGATCAATGCAGTGAAACAGTACTTCTGAGAAGCACTTTGGCACCTACCTACCAGTCACTTTGTAATTGAAATATAAGGCATGACTTCCGAAACTCGAAAAGAAGGTTGGAGTTGTGAAAGCAATTTCAACGTTGGGGTTTTTTTTCCTCCTCATTTTTTGAGAGTCTGTGCTACAGACACTGGTATTCGTTACCTCTAAATAGTCATTGCATATTTTCAGTTGTAAGCGTCACTAAATTATCCCTGAAATTTGTAAGCATTTATCATCTGAAATCCTGTGGCTAGAATTTTTCGTACGATTCCTCGTATCGCAGACATGACGTAGTACTCCGATAAGATGGCACCAAGCTTTAAGGAGAGGGAAGTTGCAAATCTGAAAGCAAAGAGTAAGGAATTTGGGGTAACGGAGCTTCCTGAGGTGATCCTGAAACAGTGATACAGAACCCACTGCATACTGTTTAGTGAAACAGAACACACACTAGGCAGGCAGACCTTTGCACAAACATAAATAGGAAAAAGACTTAAAAAAAAACAAACAAGAATTCAGAGCTTTCCAGTGTCACAGCTCACAGAAAATTAGAAAAAAAAAAGTCATGCTTAAGTTTTCAAATATTCCTCAGACACAGCAAACCTAAATAGTATTCAGTTAAATAAATGTATGAGATACTCTGGGAAACGGAGGTAAGAGAAAAGCTTTAAACTAAAAGAGGAAGGGAAATTTTGTTTCAATAAACAGCACTTTTTTTTTTTATACACAACAAGCTAGTACAAGAAAAGGCTAAAAACACTGCTTTAGGAATGGCCATTTACTGTTGGCATGAAGCATAGCTTACCCTTCTTAAATAACACAGTGAATTTGAAATACATCATTTACAAAACACGGATCGATTTATTATTCAAATTTTGTTAGTGTTGTCAATCTCATAATTTAGCAGAGGTGGAACTGAGGTATACCTTGTTGAGGGAGGTTAAGTAATACTTGGAAGCCTCTTTGCTATATCCCACTTGATTACTTTTGTTTATGTACACTGAACAGCAGCACACTAAACATTCACAAGCTGTGTCATATTCGCATTACAATAGTCATTTTTATAAACAACAGCAAATGCAATAAAAACAAGTTACCCTTTTTTTAAATCTGAAATGAAATGTTTTGATTTTAAAAAAAATAACAGTAGTTCATTTAAGGAATTAGTCTCTTCTGACAGGTATTAAGAAATCTGATGTCAGTTTTTAAAACGCTTGATTAGCCAAGTACAGGTCCATATTCTTCATTTAAGTTCCTTAACAGCACGTTGTCGTT